AGGTTCTATACCTGAATCTTGCTTTCCAGTAGTTCTTTTAAGCGTTTCATCTGCGCTTTGTTTGAGCAGTTAAACTCTAACTGGCACGGAATCTCCATTCCTCCGCACAGCTGCTTACAGTGTCGTCTGCGACCGATCACTTCAACGCTGATTTCCCCACTACGTGCAAGAAAATACCACGCTATTCGAGAGGATTCGCGAGACAAATGGCCGACCATTTCATCGTCCTTCACTACTTTCACGGCGTGTTTGTCCATTGGGTTGTTAAACTCTCGTTTAGCAACACGCTTTTCCCCGATCGATGGTTTCCATACGCCTTTATAAACATGATATCCACGCACAACTGATGTGAAAGCGAACGTTTCCATGTTGTTTACTGATCGCGGTCTACTGTGTGATTCGGCCCAGGCTTTCTATAATGTTTTTTAGCCAATCAAAGAAGAGTGCATCTGTAAAGCGTTGCTAAGTTACCTAACTAAGCCGAATGTTTCAAGTTTATTTGTGAACATTTTGATGCGCGAACAAACGATCACCTTTTTTACAAAAGCGCATTTTTGGTTTTTTTTTTTTCAAAATCATGCTTGAAAGTTGGGGGTGCGGCTTATACACGAGTTTTTACGGTACTTAGGTTGGTGTCTCTGGGTGACGAGGTGGTGAAGCATGAAATTTCCCTACAATATTTCCTCAGGAAAGAAATGTCATTTCGAAGGGCAAAAATAAGTAGTCTTTGACAAGTGGCTGGACTCTAGTTACGTGAATTCCGGTCCACCCCTCACAGGGGCAAGACATCCATGTTCTTAGCATACGTTTGAGTCACCCTTTTCTCCTGACAGCCATTCCTTATACCTTCAAATCCATTGTCAAGATGTAGTGGCCTTCAATCGAATTTTAAGTAAACTTGTAATTTTCCTTTTGTGCACATTGCTAAAGAACTGACTTAGAACTGGCACTTACACATTTTTCCATGTACCATTCGTCAAAGAATTCACTCTGATACTCCTCGTACCAAAGGTGTGTTGGCAAGGGTGGATATTTCCATGCATGATTTGTCACTATATCTCTTCATAACCCATTTTGCAGTCCTTTGAAATTCCCACTTGATCCTCTCTGTGTCCTCCGAATTTCTGTATTGGTCAAAGAAGCCTTTTCAAACTTTCTGTGACTGCTGTCAAGAACTGTTGTAGAAGGGACTATTATCGCTCTTCCATTAGCAAGACACACATTAAGTAATAGGACATCTTAACACTTGTCAGGTATCTTGCAAACCTCGGCAGGTCTGGTCTCCAACGTATTGTTCTGTGTTTCAGGCAATAGATTTGGACGACCAAACTGCAGCAATTTGGAGCCAATATGGGTAGTTAAATGTCTGCTTCTATGTAGCCTGTTTCCCACTGTCTTGTTAAAGACTCATTTGACAAGAGCAAGTATCCTCTCAAATTTGCCTCCCCTTTAGGGTGTTCTAAACAAGTTAAACTTCCACTTTGGTGGGACTATCAATTTCTCTCCCAGAAACATAAGGCCATCTACCGGTACTTCATACATCAGATCTGTTCTCTTTCTTGAAAACTGGGGTAATATTTGCAGTTTTCCAGTCTTCAGGAACTACACCAGAGTCATATGATTTCTTAAATATGACAGTCAACATTTGAGCAACTGCATTTGCCATTCAACCTCAGGTACTCAGAAGTGGAACCTAACAGGGTTAAACTTAACATTAATCGCGCGAGCACAGTCTTACACTAGCTTAAGAATACTATCATGCTCAGCGTCATCCTTTCCACCAATAATCGGGTCATCAAACACCACATGGACTCCCTCAATATCTCCAAACAACTGGTGATTCCATTTTGAGACCTTGAGGGTTGAGCTAATACGAAAGGGGCACCTTAGAAACCTATATTGTCCAAAATAGGAGTGGAAGGTACAAAGGAATGAACTCTCTTCATCCAAGGGGATCTGCCAAAAGTCATCCTTCTCATGCAATATAGAGAACATACTTTTACCAGCCAACTTCGCAAGACTATTCACCCAATCAGTGGGTCTGTCTACACAGGCAATGACACCATTTTTCTCCATACGATTTAGATTTTCCATTAGTTTACCATGAAGTCTGGATAGAACCCTACGGAGAGGGTGCACAAATGGAACTGCATCTTGTGGTATCTCAAATCGATATTCTTGTGGCGTACATCCAAGGCTCTCAAACACATCCTTGTACCTATGTAGTACGATTTCCTCTGAACACAGGCTCCAACATGCTGTCAATTTTCTCAACTAGACCAAACTGAGTGCTTGCTTGAAATCCAAGTACAGGAAAAGACGGTATATCAACAACAAAGAAACTCAAACAGTGAGTTTGTGTCTTCATGGTAGAGTTGAGTGTCACCTTGCCAACAGGGATAACTTTGTGGTTTCCATATGATGTCAGTGCTTGGTAGGTTTTCTTTCTGCAGGCTACCTCACGGTTGTGAACAGTCAAGAATGTGAAAGGCATCACATAAACTTCCACTCCGGTGGAAGACGTTTCCTTACCATGGTGCCAGAGGAATCAAGTAACTTCTGCTGCCTTTAATTATAGATGCTATACTACTTATAACAGTTTATTTTGCCAGCGACATGGGACCACCTCTGTCCAGCCTCTTTACTGTCGAATGGCTCAGTGGTGAAAACCTCATACCTTGGTTACTTCGGTCCATTGATTGGCCCACTTATTGTAAAAAAGAGGCACAATCGCATTCATTCCTGTTTTGCCTCATGGTCAGGTTAGCGACTTGATAGAAGTATCATTACGGTTTACCTTGTTTGATTATCGGTGTACCATTCATGTTGGTTTAAATCAGTTGCTAGATCTCCTCCCTTGACAAATTCCAATAGTATAAAATGGCTAGGGCACTTTAAAAAGACCCGTTTCACCTTTGTCCAAGGGTGTTTAAAGCAGTTTGGACATCTCCATCAACATATTTCATTATGATAAGATGACCGGGGTACATGTTCACCTTTTGCTGTCTCTTTGTAGGCCACCTCAATGACCTTTAAAAAAAGAGCAGGAAGCAAGTACCTTATGCCGCCTTAAAAAGTTGTTTTGGTCAATTGTAACTCTGGAGAAAGGTCAAAGTAAGCAGTTACAGTCAATGCCAAAGACTGCATCAACTACTTTACAGTCATTTTCATCTTTGAAAACAAAATGCTTGTCTACTTTCAGTGGTAAATACAGCAGTACAGTGGAGCCCCATTAATACGGTTACCAATGAGCCAAAAAAAATTGGCTGTACTAATGGGTGAACATATTAACAAGGGTTTTTTTTAACTAGAAAATGTATGATTGTTTTGCCAGGCGGCCAAAAAAAGTGGCCATAATAACGAGATGACCCCATTACCAAGGTGGCTACAAGGCAGGGTTTCACAGTATTTAATAACCAGATGATTGGCACTTAGAGGAATACCGTCTTGCGACTTTTGCTGAACACACTGTTACATTTTATCGTTATTGCCTGCTTAATGTCACTTTTGAGACCAGTGTTGGTGGCTTTTCCACCTCTCTTTCTTTAAACGTCCTTAGGTTTGGTTCTTTCATAATCTTAGCAATCATTCAAAAATCTGAAAGTGAATGTGACATTTAATTTAAAGCTAAAAAAATGTTATCATCACTCGTTGATTCTAATCAAACCATAAGAAATTACACTTGCAACTTAAATTGCCAGAGAATCAATAAGATCACGAAAGAAGAGTTAATCTTATTTCTTGAGTGTCTCCTTCTGATGATTTCACAAGGCGGAGCCAAGGAAACATTGCAACACCAATGAAACTAGTTCTCATTGATAGCACTTACTTTAGGCAACATACCTGTTATTGCTTGAGTGAATCAAGTCGTGGTCTAGCTCATGCAGTCTTCTTCCACCATGCTCCTCTTCGGGATGGAAAAGTCCAAATGGAGCTAGGGCTAGTCCAATTCTTATGGATGAATTTTTGACATCTGCCCTATCTTTAACTGGACAGCACCAGACACTATTTGAAATCTCTTCCCACGATATTAAAATAAAGGAAATTGGAATCAAGGTTGTAATCTGGATTCCAGCTCTAAAATCTTGTGAAGGGCTAGTCCAATTGTTGTTGATGAGTTGTTGACATCTGCCTTATCTTTAACTGGACAGCATCAGACACTATTTGAAATCTCTTCCCACGATATTAAAATAAAGGGAATGGGAATCAAGGTTGTAATCTGGATTCCAGCTCTAAAATCTTGTGAAGGACTAGTCCAATTGTTGTTGATGAGTTTTTGACATCTGCCTTATCTTTAACTGGACAGCACCAGGCACCGTTTGAAATCTCTTCCCACTATATTAAAATAAAGGTAATAGAAATCAAGGTTGTGATCTGGATCCCAGCCCTCTAAATCTGTGAAGGGCTAGTCCAATTCTTGTGGATGAGTTTTTGACATCTGCCTTAACTTTAACTGGACAGCATCAGACACTATTTGAAATCTCTCTCTGGTGGCAGCATATCGACTTGGAGAGCAGCATTAGAAACTGTTGGGCAGTTACTGGAAGTTTCACTTGCAGGGATGATTTAGCAATTTTTCTACGAGCTTTCACTTCATGCCACTTTTTCACTGCTTTCTTGACCAGGCTTTCACACTCCTGTACTTCTGGCCCATTGATTGTAATGTGCATTAGTGATTCCAACATATCACCTTTCAGAGAGCTTCTCAGCCTTGTTTTCAGTCATTTGACTGCTGATGCCCCACGCTCCGGCCAGGCGTTGCTTACGGGCAGAGACATGCACACTTCAGCAAGACAAAGAAGCTCTGGCACAAAATGACTGTAAGTCGATTGACTGGAAAGCATGTGATGTAAAAGCCAATCTGTAGGTGTTTGGGATGTCAGTTCCTTGTTCCTTGGTGGCTTAACGACATCTGCTGGCATTTCACTCTTGAGTTTTAAGATGCTGTACTTGAACTTCCGCCACTCACAAATCAATTCCTCTGTCTTCTGGACCTTTGATTCTCCAGTCTCCAGCTGATACAGATATTCTGCAAGGATCTTGATCTCTTTGTCTCCATACTCACTAAAGCTCTGATCAGACTTGGGTGGCACTGCAACTGGATCAAAGATTTTGAAAGCACTCAGGATGGGAAGGTTATCCTTGAAACGGGAAGCAATATTGTCTTGCAGAGCATGGACATACTTTGAAGTCAGGTTTCTGAGAAGTGTCTCATCATGTGCTGTTAGAGGAGTCAATCCACTGTAGTGCAGTCTGCCGTCCTCAGCAAGATCTCTTCTTAAACATTCCAGGGGTGATTGTTTTTCGGCCACGCTTTTCAGTTCCTCTAAAATAAATTCTACAGCAGGTGCTATGACAGCAAAGGATATGTTTCCTTTCTGAAAGGCTCGGCTGAGGTGGCTCAGAATTGGCACGACTTCATGAAGTAAATACACTGCTCCAACGAATTTCTTCAACTTGATTTCAGTGATCAAGTTTATTGCAACAGGATCACTATCATTGCTGTAGATTTGCAAAGTTTGGATCAAAGGCACAAAGTTAAGAAAAATACCATCAACAGTGCTTTCTGTAGACAGCCATCTTGTTCGGGTAGCCTTCGTAACGTGCTTTACGACCCTTTTCTTTGCAGAATGTGAAATGTGTAACTCTGCTAAAGCAATAACTGCTTTGGTGTATGCTGCTGTGCGCTTTCCCGAGTTGTGGAAGAAAGACCATAGTCGAATCAAAACCTTTTCAACAGTCTTGATATATGAAATGTGGTCATTTGCATCCCCACATGCAAGGGCCAATCTATGGCAGATGCAGTGAACATTCAGTAACCTCTTAGCTTCTCTCTTAAGCTTAGCAGTAACACCATTTTCCTTGCCCACCATTACAGATGCGCCATCAGTTGACAAACCTGATAATTTATTGATATCTAGGTCACAATCTGACAGCTGTTTCACAACAACTGACTTGATGGTTTCAGCATTGGCAGAAGTTGAGCTCTCTAAAATGTCATTCACAGCAAGGAAATCTGTTTTCACTTCATAGGTATCTTGGTCAACATATCTGATGAATGACACAAGCTGCTCTCTCTGGGCAATATCCATTACTTCATCGATCAAGAGACCCATGAAGCTGGCTTGCTGTGCCTTCTTCACAGCCTCAGATTTTATCATCTCCCCCATCAAAATAAACATTTCTCTCACTGATCCTCCTGAGCGATGCTCAAAGAATTTCATATTTGATAATCCCATTTTCTCTACAACTTCCAAAAGACTGGTAAACTTTGTGTTCGCGATTTCTTCTTTCGCTATCCAGTAAAGAGCCAAGAGTGCATTGAAATATACATCTTCCTTTGATTTTTCTCTTTCTTCAAACTCTCTCTGGAAGACAGAAACACGACTTAAAAGTTCTGCACTTACAGCATCTTTATGTTGTTGTGAAGTTGAGTGTTCTTCAACGGACTTGCGTTTAAAGCGGACAGCAGGTTCAGTGTTAAACTTTTTGCTCTTGTTTTGAAGATTCGTTGCATCATGTTTTCTACACAAAAGGCAAAACATTCCCCTACCTTCTACATAAACTAGCCAGTTCAAACTAGTCTTTTCGCAGAAAGAGAGTTTTTTGTCAAGGATCCATTGATGCTGGAAGCGATCTTTTTGGCTTGTTGCCCGTAATCGATTCATTCCAGTTTGAGTGACAGAACTGCATCTGCTCCCTTGACAAGTGTAAAAACTGTGACAGTGTACAGGTTTGTCGACTGAATTTCCGAACGATGAGTGAACAAAGTATTTCATTTCTTCGGTTAAAGGCCCTCTGTCTGGCTCAGGAGTTTCGGAAGATTGCCGAGATGACGAGCCATGATCTGTGACTTCAGGTATACTTTCAGTTGGGTTGTCATCTGAATCATTGCACTGTGTCGCATTGTTTTCTGCAATTAATATTCTTAACTAAGCGAAGAACAACACAATGGGTTTATGAGAAAACAATTGCAAAGTCAAAATTTAATCAAAATACCTGTTCCGGTTCGTGGTTTCTTTGTAAAGAATGAAACAATTCACTTTGTCCGAGGCTACGCTTGGCCGCCATCTTTGTTCAACCAACCACGTGGTAATAGTTTGGGAGCGAGGCTAAATTTCATTATGATACCGCTGAAAATGGCTGAGCGTTCCTCAATCAGTTGCGATCCGTCGCGGTACAGAAATTGTGTTGATATATGCTTTATTCCAAAATTCTCAAGGCAAGAGTGCGCTATATTTTATCAGATTTATTTCAACTGAAAAATGGGTAGGCTGTAAACATTTTAAGAGTTATATTTTTGGAGTATTTGCTGACAAACATGGCCAAGTAGCCGGTGACTCGATGACTCGCAGCCGCCGGAGCTCCAGCGGTAGCGGGCTTCTAATGAAAGCCTTGGAAGGCCTAGTCCAATTCTTGTGTCTGAGTTTTTGACATCTGCCTTAACTTCGACTGGACAGCACCAGACACTATTTGAAATATCTGCCCACTATATTAAAATAAAGGGAATGGGAATCAAGGTTGTGATCTGGATCCCAGCTCTCCAAACCTGTGAAGGCCTAGTCCGATTCTTGTGGATGAGTTTTTGACAGCTCCCATAACTTTAACTGGACAGCACCAGACACTATTTGAAATTCCTACTCACTAAATTGTGATAAAGGGAATGGGAATCAAGGTTGTGATCTGGATCCCAGCTCTCTAAACCTGTGAATTCCGGATGTCTAGCATATAATTATTTTGATTGTTATTTATTTTCTTTTGGATATTTTGTTTAACAGTGGAAGCCAACCCCTGTGTAGTTAAAGAGTTTACAATAATTAAACAAACAAAAATAATCCTTGCAAGATTATACTCCTCAATTCAAACAGTTTTTTAAATTTGGATAACATGTAACATGTGGTGACGTAATGCTACATACATGTCTACATACCTTTGCAAGCATGTTTTCTTGGATCTGTTCATTTTTGTTGGCGGAGGATCATGGTTAATGCTACTTTCCTTGCGTTTTCCTTCCTTGTTGTTATTTCGCTTGTACTCTGCTAACAACTTGTTAAAGTGCTCTCTTACGCTGCGCCGATACCATGGCATGGCTTTAAAAATATATTCTCTACAGACCACATCAGTATCTTTTTTTTTTTTGGCCATTTGTTTTTTCCTCTTTTGTTTTTCGCCTAAAATCAATAGCAATGTTATCTTCACTATTGAGGGCAGTGATGTTTCTGATAAAAAAATCCTTCATGGTACGCTATGGCCACCCACATGCAATCTTTCTCCATTGTGGCCCTGCAATTCACCATACCAGTCTTAACAATCTTAATCTTAACAGGTGCTCCAAAACGTCAATAGAGGTATCATTATCTTGTTCTGGACTCGCTGTACCACTGTCCATGGCAGTTCAAATCAGTTTGGACATCTTCTCCATTAACATACTTGATAAATTGATCAAATGACCAGCGACGGTTTTCTTACCTGGGTCTGAGCTCACTTGCTCCTCACCGATATTATTCCCAAGGTAGCATAAGTTAGACTTGCAGACTTAACAAGTCTTCTTATTCATCTTCAGTTCAGACTTTGCAATTGTCTCAAGGAATCCCTGACGTCTTGCATCATGGTCTGCTACAGTTCTCCCACGTCATCTTACATGGCTGCCACACCTTCCTGATCCTTTAGAGGATTAACCAGTCTTTTTGAGAAGAATTGCTAATCAGAGGTAATTCTAAATTAAAATTTGAGGAAACAGAAACGGCATCTCAGAGTGATACATGTTGTCAGCCTTGAACTTTTCAGGTGCAAAAATATCTGCCAATAACCTCTACTTGCATCCAGTTGTGAAAATACTTTGGATCCTGTTAATTTCGGAGCAACATCTATGGTAGGAAGAGTGCTGCCACCCGTTTAGCTCAGATGGAAGAGTGCTGGTCCACTGGGCCGGAAGCCGTGAGTTGAAACTCTGACCGAACCTCCAACCAAGGTCTTTAGATCATGCTAGCTGTGATCAAAACCTATTCTCAGTTCTGATGTTGATTGCATCATTGAGCAGAGAGGTTAAACCATTAACCTTTTCTCCTGTCCCCTTATACATCAGTTGGAAGAGCACATGAAAAACCACATTTACGTGAGCTAAGTGTCAGCGTAAAGTTGACTGTACGCAACTTTATTCCTTTACAGTATCTATACGCATACATATAAAGCTGGCGTTGCATTTCCTATAAATTCAGGGAAAAGCTTGAAATCTCAAGAAAACGTGAAATATTTCATTTCACCGTGAGTTATAAACATGACAAAAATATGGGTAAAATTTAATTCTCAAACTAAACTATTTGACTGCCTCAAAAGGTAAGAGAGAGACATTTTGTGAAATCTATATAGTTATTCAAAAAGAAAATGTTTTGCTGCGACCAGTCTCTAAAATCCTGATGAAGAGATCCTTCGAAATGCCTTCTTTTTGGTCTTTTGGTGCTGCCTAGTTGTGTGCCATGTGACGTCGAAACTGTCGAGCAAGGCAGGAAGCAGCTGTCAAGGTCTGAACTGGACTCGCTCTCCTGTTTGTTGACAATGGGGTTGCTACTGCTCTTGAAGCTGTAGACAATGGGGTTGCTACTGCTTTTGATTGTAGACAATGGGGTCTTTGCTGCTGCTCTTGAATTTGTGGACAATGGGGTCCTTGTTGCTCTTGAAGTTGTAGACACTGGGGTATCTGCTGCTCTTGATTCAGAAGTTGATGACAATAGAGTTGCTGCTGCTCTTGAAGTGTCCGGTTGACTGGATGTTGGTGTACACATACATACATACATGGTTTATTTAAAAGCAGGTTATAAAAATTGACAACACCAGAGACCTGATGCGAACCTGCACTGGCTACTTTAGAATTTACATTCAATAAAATAAAAGTTGAAATCTAAAATCTAAATTCTAAAAAAAGAGAGAATCTGACATGTTAAAATTAACATCAGTAACAATGATCTAAAAATATTTAAAATCTGCAGACATATACGAAACACTACAGGAGGCTTTATCAAAACCTATAGCATTATGTAAGTTCTTATTTTCCTTTAAAAATTTCTTGAAGTAGCCAAGACTGGAAGAGTGTTTACATGAATTGGGAGGAAGGTTCCAGCACAAAAATGCTGTGTTCATGAAAGGTGATCAGCCAATCTCAGTTCTAGACCTAGGTACCTCTATATTTGCAGACTGCCTGAAATTATAGTTAACCCTAGATTTAACACTCAATCCTCTGAGAGGATCTATAGAAGTATCATTGTAGATATTAAAACTAATTGTCAAAAGTCTCTTAATATAAAACTGAATGATGGGCTTCCAGAGGGGTAAATTCCTGACTTCAGCACTGTGGATATCTCTGGGTAAACGCTAAATAATTTTGGTTAAATGAATGCGATCAATATCATCCTATAACGATTGAGAACAAGAGGCCCAGACTACAGTACCATATAAGACACTTGGAAGAATTGTTTTGTAATAAATTGTTTGCAAGACAGGCTTTGGTAAAAACTTGATCCGTTTCCAGAGCATTCTTGTCTTTAATATTGTCCCGTTCATGGACTACGTCCAGTTGGGGCTCTTTTTTCTGTGTCCTCAGAAATACACAAATAGACCATGCTTGTTGATAGCGTCTTTCAAAAGATGACCCAACCACTTTAAATTTTTCTGCATATGTCATAGTCTCATCTTCGTCATCCTCATGTTCACTGTGCTGCTCACTTGTCTCCTCGTCAGCAATTTCTGATCCAACCTGGTCATCCCCCTCTCTTCTATCAGCTTCACCTTCCAATTGGTCACGGTATGTTGAAAAAGAGACCAGACAATAAGGTACATTTGGCATTTTCCCACAGTTACAGTGCCCTGCATTGGAGATATCAACTTGTGGAAGAAAATCATCCACAGCATCTGTATTTGGTGCCTGAGTTGGTGGGACAGGCTGTGAGGCTGGTGCTGGAATGATTGAGTAGTTCCAGAGCAAAGTGGTTTGAAATGTCTCACCATCTCTGGAATCTTTAGGATCTATGAACTATTTCATGAAACAAACAGCAAGTAATTTGTCAGCTAAGATTATTCATCTTAAACATGCGTTATAGAAAGTTAGACATATTCAATTCTAGCTCCTCACCGACAAAATATTATATCAAGTGACAAATAATTTTTAAAAACTGTTATCATTCTCTCGTTTTAAAGGGATGAATAAAACCAATTCCTCACATCAAAAATAAATGTCTCACATCAAGAAAGTGTGAATTATCAGTGTTCAAACATATTATAATCGACATCAGCAAGAATAGTTTTCTGAACGTTTTGAATGCCAAGTTATATCTGGTGGAAAAACATTTGAGGGCTTCGTTCTCCTTGAAACCTTATGAGAACTATTTTATCAGAAAGAAAGGCCAGACAGCTAAATAACGCTCAAACAAGAACAAGCGAACGCTGTTTTTGATTAAAAGGGAAAATTTTATGTGAGAGTCTCCAAAATATAAAACTCACCCTAAAGTCACAACTGCTGTCCACATGCACAAGCAATGGACTTCGCAAATCATTGAAGAACTCTGAAATATGTTTGCCATTTACCATTATTGGCCACTCGCCGAACACTCAGTTCTTCGGTAAAACGCACTTGGATTTCTCAACAGACAACTTGTATGCAGGAAAATTTAAGAGGAATTAAAGTCAGATCTTCGTCTGACAGACAGTTAACAAAGAGAAGCGGCCGTCCATTAAAAACCTCAGCCATCGCGTCTGGATTCGCTTTCACCACCATCTTGATCTTTCCCTCACGAGAGCTGGCATGAACTGCTGACGTCATGAACGAACGTGATAATATACTTAGTATTACAATGCATTGTGGGAAGGCAGTCGTTCCTCCTCTGATCCGTTTCAAGCCCGCAACTTTCTTGCCAAAAGAGTCACAAACGTTCATAGTGTGCTCTTGCCATGAAAGCCTATTATCGATAGTCAGGCCAGGGCATTTACAGAGAGCCAGGTGGAGGCCTGCCTGCCCAGTTAAGACTGTCGATTGGCCGTTGCCTGTTTGACTGATGAGTATGCCCTCTCCTTGGCAAAAACGTTTGCCCTTGCCCTAAAAGTGAGCCTTGCAAGAGCAATATCGTCAAGGCTTCTTTTCACTGTTGTAAGTGCTGATCTCTCTCAGGGGATTTGTTTTAACAAGGGACCCTGAAAGATGCTGAACTTTATTTTCATCTTCTGACAAGTCTGACTCATCAGAGCTGGTCTACTCGAGTCTTCCAATGGCGCACTCTATTGATACTTTTCTTTTCTCGGACTGTGGCATGGTCGTAAGAGTCGTCAGTCTTCTTTCGATTTTCTAAGTGAAAGATGTAAAAAATATTAGACATTTGAGAACAACACTGTAAAAGGATAAATAAAAGAAATGGGAAAATTGCAGAAAATGTATAATGCCAAAAACCTATGCCCAGAAGAATGTGGGGCATTCTTGAAGTACAATACAATACAATAATATTTATTAACTCTCCCAAAGGTCTATTCTGAAGTTAATTTACAAATGCTGAAAAGAAGGGGATAAGAAGAAAAAGCTTAAATTGATTACAATCTTTGTTCAAAACTAAAAGCCTAAACTATGCGCGTACAATTACGTTATCTCTTTGGAGATCTAAACTAAATCAAATATTAACTATTTAACGCATAGGGTCTGCACCCGCAATTCGCGTTTGACGCTCCTCTTAAAGGTACATAGTGACGGGCTATTTCTAGTGTTTGCGGGTCAGAGAGTTCCAAGCAATTACAGCGCGATAGTAAAATGACCGTTGCGCGGTAACTGTTCTGCATGGAGGGAGATTTAGATTGTCCCTTTTCCTCATGTTGTAGTGGTGTGTGTCTAATCGCTTACTGAGTTTACTACTCAAGTACAACGGAGCGAGGCCATTAACAATTTTGTATACTTGGATAGTATCACGGACTAATAGTTGATCTTTGATGGAGGGCCACCCTAATTCCCGAAGAACAGGCGAGATGTGATCAATCTTTTTAGTATCTGTTAATACGCGGGCGGCAAAGTTTTGCACTTGTAACCTCTGTAGATTTTGCTTTGAGGTGCCTGCCCAGACAGTGGAACAGTAAAAAAGTTTACTAAAAATAAGAGAATTCAAAATAGTTGACAAGACAGGTTTAGTAAACAGGTGTCTCACCCTACTAATCTGACATAACATGGACAGGAGAGGCGATGCTAATGTGTTTACATGATCATTTAAGTTGAGGTATGAGCCCAGTGTAATGCCTAAGTCTTGAACTGAGGATACCAGAGAGAGTTCTTGGTCAAGGAAGGGTACTCTGATGTCTAATACCTTGCCTAGGAGCTGCCTTGTCCCGAAAAAAATGAGTTTGGTTTTGCTTGGATTTATCAGTAATTGGTGTGAGCAACACCACCCAGCAATGAGACGTAGGTCTTCCGTCATTTTTACAAGGCAAGAATTCATGTTTTTAGCCGAAAAGGAGCGGTAGATCTTAGTATTGTCAAAGTAGGAGTCGGTACAGCTGGACTTAACTGCGGAGGGTAGATCATTTATATATAAGTTGAACAACATAATACCTAAGATGGAGCCTTGAGGCATGCCATGTGTTATCGTAAGCTCATCAGATAAAGAGGTGCCTAATGGAGTAGACTACTTGCGGTCCGTAACGAGGTAACTCTCGAACCATTTAAGGGCCTGACTTGATGAGCCAAGACTGCGTAGTTTGAGAAGAAGTGTATTGTGGCAAATACTGTCGAAGGCCTTGCTGAGGTCTATAAGGACCATAGCTGTCAATTGCTGTTGGTCTATAGCCCTGAACACATGATCAGTAACCAAAAGGCTCAGAGTTTCCGTAGATTGGTTCTTGCAGTTCCCACTCTCATGTTGACTGAGTTTGTCTTGCTTAGTCAGGAAGTCATTAAATTGAATCAAGGCAATCTTCTCGGCCACTTTAGAAAAAACAGGAAGCAACGAGATCGGCTAGTTGTTATTGGAGACCTCATGATCACCGTCTTTTAGGTGGGGTACAATCACAGACTTTTTCCAAGCCCTAGCGAATTTAGAACAGGCAAACGGGGAGAAGTGCCCAGGTTTCAGAAATATCTTGGAAAGCAATGAAATGCTACTGCACGGTACACATGCAGGCCTTGTTTGAAAAGAGTTGGATATGTAAGTTGCAGTGTCATGGTCTATTTGACAGTTGCCATCATTGGTCTGGGTGGGCAAGATGAGATCAAACGGGAACTGAATAGGCTGCACGGTGCATCTTTACATACTGATGTCCAATCTCACCACTCTGCTCCCTGCAATTCAGCCACTGGCTACAAGAGAGTGAGAAATGACACTGTTTAATATATTTCTTCTGTGTACAGTCAACTCCCTTCATAGCGGAAACTGTAGGGACCTTGAGTTAATGTCCTCTTCAACGAGAGTCCGTAATAGCGGGAGTTTATTTCGGTCAATTAATGTCTGTAATTCATTTTTGCCCGGATTTAGCGTCTGTCCGTATTATCAGGGTGTCCGTTATAGCGGGGTGTCCGCAAGGCGAGAGTTGACTGTATATGACAATGTCGGTTCTGTAATGTCCTCTATGATACCTTCTTCCAAGAAGCACGGGAGCCCTGTTTTCACTTCGCAAATTGAAGAAAATGGAGTATTTTTGGTGGTTCTGACACTATATGGCTCAGCGTTTTCAGTGAGCGTAGTCGTGAGAGGCCTACAGTTCATTTGACCGATGTCACAAAACGTGACTGGGGTAGTTTCTTGCATCATTTGGCATGCTTCCTGACAGCCTATTAACGGGTTGTCTACACAGGTCTGAATGAAGAAAACCTTGAAATGGTACAGATCATGATATTAACTGCCTTTTGATGTACTAAAATTCAACTTAGAGGACACAACCAAAGAAAACTTTAAACATATTTCTCCGGTTCCTTTTATCAATTAAGCCTCCCTACAAACTATATGAATTTTCGTTACTAAGAGCGTATTCCTGAATGAAAAATAGTTTAATTCAAATCAATTTTATCCTGGGGACTTTTTGTCGCTAGAGTCCTGGCTGAACTGATAAGGCAATCCTTTGTTTCTCTAGTACTGCTAATCAGCCAAATTGGTAATCAAACTCAGTCATTTTCGGAATAGACCTCTTTTGTATTTACCAAATCAGTGAATAGCAATTTTCGCCCGTTTTGGTTGGCTAACGTAAGTTGGAATATCCTTGCAGGCTATTCACTGATTTGCGACCGAAGCCAAGATGGCATCGCGTTTTGAGAAATTTTCAGAAGACGAAAACTGAGCAATAAATGAAGCAGTCATACAAACAAATACCAAGAAAACGATGAACTTGTTCTGGTAAATACTAAAATAACTATCCCCCTCAGGGTTGGTGAACAGTGCTAGATATATACCTCGACACTTCATGTCTCGGTATACATAAACCGCTATTCGCCTCCCGTTCGGGGGATAGTTGGATAGTATCATTTCATGTAATAATCGGAGTACTATTTTTGACAGTATGAAGAAACTGCCATTTATGCAAATGGTAATTGAATCACGGGGCTGCCCCTGATCAAATTGAAACCTCAAGACGTCCTTAGCCTTAAAAGAATAATCATGACAGCCAGCTGGCTTCATGCAAAAGGCCAAGACAATGTGACCAACAGACAGTTAAAAGCAGATGGGAAGACTTTTCGAATGTATCTAAAATTTTGTGAGACTGTTATTTTTGGACCAAATTTCCATTCCTCTGCAAGTTCATAGCTGGATGGGTGACGAGGGTACAGTTCCCTCTCTTTTATTATTATAATATTGAATTTATAGAAAATTATGAAAGTGACTAGACTTTGATTATCTTTTTTTTCCCTCAGATCCAGGACAGAACAGTAATGGACAACAACGTCAGTGATATGATAATGGTGAAGCAGTGGTATGGTGTCATGGTACAACATATATGGTTTGCTATGGATCCTGGAAAAATTTGTTGTTGTGAAGATTTCATTGTAGCATTGATATAAAGGCTGAATCTACATGTGGTTCCTGGACATGTACAGGTGTTTGCTTCCATCCTGGTACGTTGATGTACTTGATTAACTGAACATGAATTTATTGGAGAGTTTGGACTTAGGGACAACAGCTTTTGCTGAGGATTCATTGTCAAGCACCCCATGTGATAGGATGTTAACTGTAAACACGTGCAGCTCCTGGTGTGGTATGGCATGGTAGTCACTATAGAAACTGCAGGGATGCTGGACTAGAGGTCTGTAATGTTACCAAGAATGTGTTTTAACAACAAGCTCCAGGCATAATTAACTAAGCATGGAGAGGCTGGACAAGGGGACTTCTCAAAACCAAAACAGCCAGGTGATGCATGGCATTGATCATAAGCTGTTGGAGTGGTAAAGTTTGGTGTGTATCCTGGCAGTAGCAATAACAAAGATTCCCTGGAGAAGCTGGCTAGGATTAAAGCAGCACCAAAAATCAAGAAGATGATTGGTTGGGTATTGCTCAGGTAGGTCAGATGATGATGAGTTGCATGTGTAATCAAATGGTGACGAGTGACATTAGGGAATAATTTCATTTGTCTTTTGCCCCAATTCTAATAGACTATACCATTTATTTACCTGTTATGATATCATTTGCCAGTAGCAGTCCCTAAAGGCGATTTGTTTTGACTTTCTTATGGTGCAATATACAGAGGATATTACATGGCCGTGCGGGGATACGAATTTTATCTTCGAGCGCTGAAAGTATCTCTTACGAGTGAGGGAAGCAAACGAGTGAGAGATACTTTCAGCACGAGAAGATAAAATTCGTATCCCTAAGCGGCCATGTAATGTTCTGTCTATTTTATAGATACTGGTGAAATTCCTACATAAAACACAACTTTTTTTGGCAGGAAGCTCTCTTGTAATTGGCTAATCATGTTAGTAACCATGGCGACACTAATATCCTCACACGTGAAAGATGAAAATAGTATTTTCACTGCACGAGATGAAGATATGATTTTTTAGTAAAAGGAAAAATCCTGGTATTTAATCAGTATCTATATAATAAATGTAATTAATATATTGAGGGATACCATTTTGAAAATTGGTGATTATTGATCCCTGGCTGCTACTCATATAGGCTTGGCATTTCCTAGTAATTGACACCTGACAGAAGGTGACCCAAAAAACCAACAAATAGTTGATTCAATTTCCCGCAAAATGACCCAGAAAGGAGCTTGATGTTGACTTTGTGTCCTACTTGTTACTGCCAATAAAACTTTGAACAAAAGGCTTGGCATCCATGGGCCATTTCCGACTCTACTGACGTATGGTAGAAGAAACCCGAGAAGCATGCACTCCCCTGAACTTCACAAGCTTCTGTGATATGCATTTTTCTAGTGAAGAAAATTCAATTCCATTTCCCTAAAAATATTGATCCAAAAGGCGCTTAATCCTGACTTTGTCCCTAACTGTGGCACACAAAAAAATGCCGACATTGTAGAAGTCTTCAGAAAATCG